CCGCCGCGGGTCAGCGGCCCGCAGGTCAGCGCGGGGGCAGCCCCAGGACCGCCGGGCTGGTCAGCCTGCGCCCCAGAGTCATCGCGGAGGGAAAGTCAGCCCCGCGAGGGGAATGTGGCCACGTCTGCTCCTGAAGAGTAAACCTCTCTCCCGGGAGGGCTGCACAGGCCTGGGGGAGAGGGCCCCCCAAAAGGTCAGATTCACCGTCGCTCTGCAGAGGAACGTTAAGGTCTGAAAAGAGTCAGGAGGCGGCCTCACATGTTGGCTCAGCAGCCCCCACGCGGTGTAAGGCAGAGGCCTCCCCCAGCCACGTCGACCCCTAAGAGGCAAACACTTGGCACGCAGCAGATCCCCAGACGGCTCCCAGGTGGGCTCTCTCTTCTTCCGGACACAGGTACCCCTTAGAAAAGCTGCCGCCTGAGGGGCCAGGGCAGGTACCTAACACACACACACACCAGGGGTAAGTGCTTTCTGCCAGCTTCCAACCAGCGAGGGGTGAAACCACACGAGGTTAGGACAGTCTCTAAGTTCTCGCAAACAAAGTAAACTGGGGGCTTCTTGGAGCTGAGCGCGCAGCGCAGGTCGGGCTCTGGGGGAAAGCGGGTGTTTGACCACTTGCCCGAACCATCCCGCACCAGCACACAGCCTGGAATCCCACTTCCAGGCGGGGGGCGGTAAACAAAAGTCACCAAGGTAACACCTGGGGTCTCTGGCCTGACCCCCAACCTCCAAGGACCTCCCGGCTGGCTGGGCATGCACGTGCGCGCGCGCGCACACACACACACACACACACACACACACCCCCCCTGTGATGGTCTGCACTGTACAGGAGAGGGAGGCAAGAACTGAACTGAATCTACCATTTGCTCAGCCCCAGGTCAATAAAATAAGTGTAAAACCAGTCGCACTACGCCCCAAATGGTTTCAGGGCTCAATCCCACATCTTTCTCTACCTCATGAATTGGGCCAGGTTTCAATTTGTACTCACTGAGGTGTTATCACCAAGCTTAAGGGGGGAAGGGTCCCAGCTAAACTTTTAAGCTGGCATCAGGACAAAAAGACATGCTTGTCTTCTCTGTTACAGGGGACCTGGCTGGCCGAAGGCACGTCAGGGTGAGAGCATAAAAATCAAACTGGGCACATGTGGATCAATGGAGCCAAATGCCCAAAGTTGGGAAGTGCTTAATTGAAAAGTCATTGATTGCTCTGATCAATGTCTTTCTCTTGATTACCTCGCACTTGCGCAGGTTATAGGGGAACTGCGGGCTTCTCTACAGAAGAGGCCTGAAAGGCACGGGAGCTCTCACAGTGTACCTGAGTCTTAACAATCCTACCACCTGACAAAACTTTCAAAATTGGTTTTGGAGGCTAAATGATTTATTTTGATAGAAAACTGGGCTGCTGAAGGACAGAGATGAGCATCTCTCCCTTCTAAAAAAAATGGCTCTTGATAAATAGGGCCTTATGATCATCAAAATCTTCTGACCAGGCATTTTCAAAGGC